GCTGCTCCACCGTGCCCTGCAGCTGGCCCGAGTCCTCCCACTCTCCAAGCCCATGGCGCTGTGCCCATCAGACCCACGCAACACAAAATCACCACCTGTCCCACATTGCTCCCCCACCCTGGAAGCTACCCAGCCAACACTGCACCATCCAAAGCAGGACACAAATGCCATCATCACCCCATGGCCATCACTCTTCCTCTGGTGTCCCCATATACTATGGACACCCTACATATAAGCATAAATTGCCTTTATGATTCCCATGCCCTTCCTTCAGCCTCGTTCCTTGAAGACTCGCCATCATGAAGGTGGGCCACACGAGACCTCAGCGCTGCAGCTCATGCAAGTCCCCAGAAGCCCAACCCTACACTTACGATTACTCTGCACACCCTTCTCCAAAGCAGTCACCTCAGGGTCCCCTTGCCCTTGCAACCTCTGCAGAAAACCTGAACAATCATTTCAGAGGGGTCACAGCTCTCGCTAAACAGTATGTGCAGAGAATAGGGCAGGAGAGGGGGTCCAGCACTATGCAAACTCTTTCTGCACCCATGGGCACTTATAATTTCTACATGCCCTGTGGTGGCTGCAAGGGACAAAGGACACTCAACCCTCTCAGAAACACTAGGAGCCATAAATGGGAAAAAAAAAATACTACTGAGCCCCTGGCACCCCTCTTCTTTATGAGACCTTCCTCAGTTGAGTGTGGAGAGGTAGTTTGGCCCTGGCAGCCATTTCAATCTCTCCAGGCTGCAGTGAAGACTCTCTCTGGGACACTGTCTGGTCTGCTGCAGGATCCCTCCCTCAGAGCTGTTTTATTGCCTCCAGCCCTATGGCCAAACCTCCCTGAGCCCCACTCTGGCATCTCACGCACGCATTTCAGATCCCTGCTCTCCCGGGATGAGCCTGAGCAGCCTGATGGACCACTTCCCTTAGGTACCAAGCAATACGTGGTCAGAAGAAAGGAAAAGGCAGTTTTGTCCCTTTCTGTTTCACTGTAGAGGACAGTTCAGTCTGCCCTGGCCTCTCATGCTTGCCTGCCAACAGTAGCCTGCAACACCCAAGACAAGAACCCCCCGCTTACAACAAGTCCTCATCTTCTTTTGGTGCCTCTTTCTGTGGCCGCACTCACCCAGGCACCTCAGTGCCAGAGAGGGAACATGCCAGTGCGTGTGCACACACGAGCACGCCTGGGCAGGCACACTGCGAGCGTGCCCCTGGTCTCTGTGCTGATCTCCTTGGCGGCTTGGCACATTGAGCTCCCCATGTTCGGGTCTGAAATATGGCACCTCACTTGGTCCTACAGAGATGCATGGCCCTCCACCCAGATACTCCTACAGCTGCAGCCTTTGGATGAGAGAAAAGCCTGAACAGAGAGAAAGTGATCACGTACTCCCAAAACTCAATCATTGAGGAGGTGGCATTTGCAGGCAAGGTCCTGTTGTCCAGGCTGGAGCTATTCAGAATGTCCACACAGAGATCTACCAAAAGAAAAGGAAGCTGATGAGCCAGAGAAATTCTCCAAGGCTCCTCCATGAGGGATGCTCCTTCCCCTCTGCACCCTCACTCTGGCAGCACACAGACCCTTCACCCTGTGCTATAGAGCATCTCATTAAACTCTTGCATCTCACTAAGCATCTCATTAAACCGTGGCTCTCCTCAGCTACAAACCCCAATCCAGCAGTAGCCAGAGGGCTTCGGGAAGGGGAGCAGGAAAGGAGAGAGCAATTCCCTGCCAAATGGAAACCAGATGGCTGTAAAATATAGATTATTGAGGGATAGCCACTATGAGTAGCCAGGAGAGAAAATCCCATTTTCCTCCCACACCACGCAGCATTCTCTGTCCGCACATCCATGCATATGTTCACACACACCACAGATGCCTTCATGTTCCACTCTACCATCCCCAACCCTGTCACATAGCGTGAAATTACTAAAAACAGAGGAGATGCCACGCATCCAGGAAATGCACCTTATCTTGCACTTGGCAAGCAAATACAATCCACCGGAAAATCGAGGAAACCCAGTTCTGGCTGGGAAGCTTCTGCTTGTTAAGAGAACATCTGTGGCTTTCCTCGCAAACAAACCCATGCTGGGGGAGCTGAAGCAATCAGATCCACTCTTTAAAAGCCTGGTTACCTCTGCTGGGATGAAGGGGCAGAGGAAGCTGTGAGTGAACGGCCCATAGGGTGGAAAAATTTTCACATCACAGAAACGAATCATCTGACCCAAGAGAAAAAGGAAGGGAACCAAACTACTGCCAAAGCTCTTTCCAGCCTGGCTTTCCACTGAAAGCAAAAAAACCTGTTCAACATGGTAAAAAAGCCTGTCAAGGACATCAGATCTATGAAGATTACCTTATATCTAACCCATCTTCCTGGGCACAGCCCAAGTGCCTTGAATAAAACCAAAGCCAGGTCTTCTCTGCTGGGCACAGTTACGTGAATTGTGGGCATGAGGAGACAAGACCCATGGCCAATGTAATGGTATAGAGGCTTGTATGGATGTGATTAGACCAGAAAAACAGTGCGTTTATAGTTTTGTGTTACTGGTTCCTGCATTAGGATACCTATACTGGCAAAATGCTCCACTGCAGGCTTTGCCTGATTTAGCCAAAAGCTGAGTGCACAAAGGAAACTGTTCAGTATGTGGCAGCAACTGTCCCAGTAACTCTGAAGCAGTGGGGTAGAGTAAGGGAACTGTAAGGTAAATTATTGTACCAGAGCTAATGAAAAGCTCCTGCCACTTGAGGAGGACTCTAGATTGGCTTGAAAACTCTCCCAATGCACCTACATCTCCCACTTGCCAGAAAATTCAGATTTCTCTGTGAAATCTCAATGCCCAAAACATCTCCATGTGGAAATAGTTTTACTGTCCCCTTCTGCTAGGCATAGGGCCATACCACTCACCCTTCCTGACACTTGCCCACGGTGAATGAAGACAGTTGCCTTTGAAGGAGTGCCTAGCCACAGTGCAGCTCCTGAGGGCTTTTCATGTGAATAAAAAATATTTTCTACAAAACTCAGATAATTTCTGGGAATTGGGAAGGAACTAGAAGCTGACCAAGAGAAGGTGTACCTGAGTTCCAGGGGTTATTGCAGCTGGCCCACGGTAGCACCGTGGTGAAGGAGCTGAACAGGTAGAAGAGTGCCCAGGACAAGATGATGATGTAGTAGATATTCAGATAGCACTCGATGACTTGTGAGGCATATCCAATTCCTGTGAAGGAAAGAAAAGGAGGGGAGGATGGGGCTGCCAACCAACTCCCAACATGTCAGGCTTAACCCCAAACAAAGATATAGACCATGCCATGGTAAGAAGGGTGCAACACCAACCACATGGCTCACTGGAGAATAGGGCGAGACCAGCCTCAGAGAAAGAGAAAGGATTTTGTGACTGTGCATGCAGACAGGAAACGTTGCTGGTATCTCTAGACAGGTCTATGGTGGAACAGAGAGAAAATCTTTTGCTGATGGGAAAACTCTTTTTCTGATCACTACCATGCCACTGCATTACCCTGCCTCTCCTGCAGGAAAGCCAGCTCTAGCTTTTAAAGAAAAGACACACAAGTGAGTTTCTTCCTTCTGGAAAGACTCAGACAATAAAGAAGTTCTTACTGCTGATATACATCATACATAAAATATGGTGTTGGGGCAAAAGTACAGACTTAGGAGATGAGCTCTGGTCTTGGGTCCTGCATGTCCCTATTGCTCACTGAGACATCAGAACAGTAATCGGGTCAGAAAGGCACAATTCATTTGTTTAAAACTGGCTGTCAGGGCCCTTCGAGATGCCACTGCTGTCCACTTCCAGGCCTCATGCCGGAGTACAGGGGTCTCCAGCGCAGGATGTCATGTTGATTTCAAATAGCACTGCGCAGCCGTGCTTCAGCAAACTAACCAGGCCTTTAATCTGCCTGAGCACAGGTTTCTCTGTCTGCAAAATGTGGGTAGTAAGCTCTTCTCCGGACAGGAGAATTGTGGCCGTTAGATTCATTAACATATTAATGAATAACCTTCCCCAGGGCCCCAGGAATCCTGGCTGTTATACGTGTGCCTTGACCACAGCCCCAGCCCGTCCCCGGGCTGTCAGCGCAGTGCGTGCAGTGTGATTCCCCGCAGCGTGCAGGACGCCAGCCTGCCACAGCAGCCCCGGGCATAGTGATGGGCAGGGAAAGCGCCATAAGCCAGCCAGCCTTCCTTATCCTCTTCTCTCTTCAGTATTTGTCCTGGACTACATGCAGGTGTTTGTGTTTTGACACTTCCATCCTCTTCCTCTTCCTGCTTGCTGGCCATCCTGTTTCTCCTCTCTCCTGGGCTCTGAGCATCTCAAAGCAGAGACCGTGGCTCGGCTGGACCAGCACAGACCCCAGCCAGCACCAAACACACAGCAGTCACCAGGAGGGATAACAAGGCTTGGAGAGAGGAGAAGGGAGGGAGAATAAAGGAGAAACAAAAAAAACCAGAATAACATTTCCAAAAAAGGCTCTGAGTCACTAATTGTTAGAAAGTGCTGCCAACAATTTCTGTAATTTGACAGACCTTCAAAGATGGGACAGATCTTCCTCCAGGCAGTGACCCCTCCTTGGCTGGTGTACTGCCCCAGCGCCGTCTCCAGGAAGAACAGGGGGATCCCGCAGGTGAAGAGGAAGATGAGGTAAGGGATGAGGAAGGCTCCTGCAAAGAGGGGTAAGATGCTACTTGAGAAACCTCTTTAAAACCTTTTCCCCACCACCCCTTGCCAGGTACCTGAGGCCGCAGCTGGAATCAGCTAGATAAACACAAATATTTCTCTGAATTAACTGTGCAACCTCTGCTAAAAAACTAAGGTCTCCAACACCATCATTTCTTGGAAAAAAAATACAAGCATGCTCTGTCTCGTGCTATTGCAGTACTTACGCATTTGGTCTTGGCCAAAACCTAGAGGTAAGGAGTAGCCAGGCAAGGGGCTAAAAAAAGACAGCACTGGAGAAGCTCTCCCTGCTTCACCCTCCTGATCTCATTCTAGCTTTCAGCAGG